GGGTCAGAGAAGGTGAAAGAGATTCAGATAGACCAAAGAACCTAAGCACAAAGCAGGTATGAGTGTAAGAAAACATGCTGTGAATTTAATACCATATGCAATCCATGCTTTCCACAGCAACACAAGATGTAGACAGCCCAATAAGGGCATGCCTAGTAATTTCATGATTAACAACAAAGATGTTATTTAGTTCCAAGGCTTCAACTCATAATTTTACTGGCATCCTCAAGTGCTTCATACCCTCTTTTTCCCTGACAGGACCCCAGGGGCTCCTAGACGTGGCCACAGCACAGCACAGCTCTTCAGGGTGCTAAACACATCCTCAATTCTGCTCCGGGGACGTTTCAAAGACAACAGCGTGAATGGCCCCACCCAAAGTTGGACAATGCAGTGCTACTGTCACATGATCGTGTTGGTGGCCATTAATATCTTCTTTTTTTATTTTTAAGTTTATTTATTTTGAGAGAGGGAGAGACAGAGAGAGAGAGAGAGAGAGAGAGAGAGAGAGAGAGAGAGAGAGAATCCCAGGCAGGCTCTGCACTGCCAATGCGGGGCTCAATCTCCCGAACTGTGAGATCATGACTTGAGCCAGAACCAAGAGTCAGACGCTTAACCAACTGAGCCACATTAATATCTTCTTGTTATTTTTTTCTTCAAAAGCAAACAGAAACAACTAAATGTCTAATAGTGGCCTGGTAAAATAAATTCTGTATAAAATCTTGCTATAGAATCATATTTAAGAGGAATTCTGGTGGCTACAAGGGAATGATTTTGCCAGACTGTAACTCTGTCACTATTATAAAATCCGAACAAAAAAACTTAAAAAGACAAAAGCGTACAGGCTCTGGAGTACGACGCAAAGCAGGCGGAAACTGGAGTGCAATCATTCTTCGAAAATCAGAAAGCCCATTAAGCAAGAGATTTGCAGTTACGCAGCTTCTGGCCTGAAGGGTCTCCTCAGTCCGCAGGCAGTTCAAGGCAGCCAAAAGCCTCAGCCTTACTTACTTAAAATGTCAGATGACAAAATTCGGGGGCTGGCAGAGCCAGCAGATAGAAAGTGAAGGAAGAAATCCTAGACAAGATGGAGACATAGAGGGGATAAACCCCCAAATCTGATTGTAAATTCTGCCCATTTCTTGTCTGATTTGCTACGCTACACGTGCATGGGGAGACTCCAGGGAACCCAGCAAAAAAGTAACAGCTGAAAATGAAAATAATAGAGATTTCGGCTGCTGTTCCCAGCAGAGGAAAGAGTTTGATTTTTTTTTAAGTATATTTATTAATATTTTAAGACATACGTTAAAGATGAACACCGTATTGTGTTTATAACATATATAGATGATATAAACATGTTAACAATAACACAAATTACAGGGTGATGTAACTGAACCATATACCTTTTGTTTGTTTGTTGTTGTTTTATTTTATGGTGGAAAAAAAACACCTAACAAGATCTACCCTCTTGACCAAATTTTAAGTGCACAATATGTTACTGTTGACTATAGGTGCAAAGCGGTACGGCAGATCTCCAAAGCTTATTCATTTTGCTTGACTACAACGTTATGCCTGTTGGTTAGTAATTCCCATTTCCCTCTTCCCTCAGTCCCTGGCAACCACCATTCCACTTTTTGATTCTACAAAATTTGACTATTTTATTCAAGTTCTTAGTCCATTTTTTAATCAGGTTATTAGTTTTTTCCTACTGAGCTGTAGGAGTTCCTTGTATATTTTGGAGATTAACCCCTTATCAGATACACGATTTGCAAATATTTTCTCCCATTCCATAAACTGCCTTTTTTACTCTGCTGATTGTTTCTTTTGCTGTACAGAAGCTTTTTAGTTTGATATAGCCCTAGTTGCTTATGTTTGGTTTTGTTACCTTGGTTTTTGGTGTCACACTGGTGAAACCATTGCCAAGATCAATGTCATGAAGGTTTTTCCGTGTTTTAGGAGTTTCACAGTTTGGGGTCTTATGTTTAAGTCTTTGATCATTTTGAGTTGATTTTTGTGTGTGGTGGGAGACAAGGATCTAACTTTGTTCTTTTGCACGTAGATATCATTTTCCACCACCACCATTTCTGGAAGAGAAATTGTGTATTCTTGTGTATTCTTGGCACCCCTGTTGAAGATCAGTTAACTGCATGTATTGTCTGTGACAGAGTCACATGACATTCCTCCTCTACTAACCTTATTTCTGAGGTTGGAGAAGGCATACCTTAGCCCTGGGAAGATGACAGGGCCACTATTTACATAAATCACCCCAAATATATCAGCCTCATTCTTGTGGCCTGGTCACTCTCCAGGCCACTCTCTTAGAATCTGGGTCAGGCATGGAGACCCTAGGAAAACCCCAGAGATACTACTCCTGGAGCTCCTGGTGTATCTGGTTTGTACCCTGCCGGGGCAAGCGCTCTGAAGGAAAGACATGGGAAGAGGCCTTTGTGTGTTTTTTCAGGGCTTGGGGCTCCCTACCCTGATGGCACTGCCAGACTTCCCCAATCCTAGGATAAAAGAGGAACTTAGAAAATTCTGAGGAAGGGCCTAGGGAGGTATTATGTTATCTCTGTCTTTTCTCTTTATCTTTTTCCCTCTCTTCCTCTGGTCACCTTGCCAGGTCTCATGGGGGCCATATCAGAGCCCATTTGAATGATGCCATGCAATACCCACTCCCAGAGCCCTCTTTCTGTACAATAACCAATAGTAAATCTGTGTCCCAACATGGAACCCAGGTGTCTTGAGTCTCTCTACCTCACATAGTGCAAGTTAGAACAGTCCTTTCTTTCACCTATATTTTTAGAGAGTAGAATCAGAGCTGCTCTCCAGCACTTGGCTATCAGTCTCTCCATTGTTTTTTTGTGTATAACAGCTTTATTGAGATGCAATTCATTTATCGTATAATTACAATTTGCTGGGATTTAGTACATCACAAAGTTTTGCAACTATCACCACAACCAATTTTAGAACATTTTCAACACCACACAAAGAAACCTCATACCTCCTAATCATCACTTCCCAATCTCCATTCTCCTAAACCCCACACAACCACTAGTCTATTTTCTATCTTTATAGATTAGTCCATTCTGGGCAGTTCAAATAAATGGAATCGTACAATGCGTAGGGTAGGAGGGGAATCTTTCCATGTCATTATTTGCTTAGGAAGTCAGAGAGTTAACTAGTCAGTCAACTCTTTCTTCATAAATTAAGGGTAGTGGGGGGTGGGGGGTTAATGGGGGGACACTGTCCTAAATGAAGTTCAGCTTGCAATCAGGAGAGGCCTGTTTCTTGCATGGAGAAGAGCTCAGGAAATAATCAACTAGATGGAGGCAGAGCAGCCATCTGAGTATAGAAGATATCTTATAGTTTACTCATTTCCAAAAAATACCATATTTTTTCCCAGAAAGACCTTATCTCTGCAATTGCTCTGAGTACCATGGGGCAGATCCCCCTAGCTTATGAATAAGGTCACATGAATAGGTCACTGGCTCACTGATCCCCACCGGAACATATGGGAGTCTTCATGGTACATCTCCTATGTTCATGAATAATTCTGCTCCCTGGGTGCTGCCTCTATTTTGCACTTTCTCTGCTGTCTGACAGGCTGTGCCTGGTCTGTAGTAAGAAGGGGGAAATGCACAGGCTCCACAAAACCCATCTTTCCTTCCATGTGCCTTTCTCTTTTCCTACCACCCATCGCAGGTTGAGCTGAGGACAAGCTCCAATCCCACATTGTTCTCAGAATCACACCATGCCTGCACACAACTGAGGCTTTGTTCCTGGGCCAGATGGTTATATCAGGCTCCCAGGACATAAAGAGAAGACCAACTCTTGTAAATAGCCTGGTTTGGGGGCTGCCCACAAGTCCCCAGACCTTCCCAGAGATATCTGAACCCCAGCAGTGAGATCCCTGCTGTACCTTTAATTTCCTGAGTAAATACCTATGTCTCTTATATTCTGGGGTGCTCAAGATGAGCTTGTCCCTGAGCATGCTGCTCTCAGTGTGGCCTTTCTCCTAAGGCCAGGTTCCAGAAGCACAGCTGAGGAATGGTTTCAACAAGAGACTAGGGTGGAGACGGCAATGTTACCACAACCTTGGGTCTAAATCTCTCATATGAAGTCCAGTTACTAGCTTTTCATAAGCACAGTGTTGGTGTTGCTGTTGTTGTTTTAATTTTTTTAATGTGTAGTTATTTTTGAGAGAGACAGCGACAGAGCGCGAGCAGGGGTGGGGCAGAGAGGGAGGGAGACACGGAATCTGAAGCAGGCTCCAAGCTCTGAGCTGCCAGCACAGAGCCTGATGCGGGGCTCAAACTCACAGGAAGTGAGTGAGATCATGACCTGAGCTGAAGTCAGATGCTTAACCGACTGAGCCACCCAGGTGCCCCCATAAGCACAGTGTTTTAAGTTCAGCTCCTCCTTCCACCTTAGGTCTTGACCTCATGTTCCTCAGGAGCCTGTGTGAGGTGTGGTGCCCAGACTGAGTCCTGCAGTGATTCCTCAGCGATGCTTCTTGCTCCTTCCTAACCTTCCCTGTGATCTAACCAATTTCTGGGTTCCTTTTTGCCTTGCTGTCTATCCCTTAGTCTGGAACAAGTTAAGCCCTTAGGGCTTAGGTTCCTAAGCCTAGAAACCAAACTAGATATTTTGGACAGTCATGATAGATTTTGATCCTACCGAGGAAAGGAGTATGGAAGAGTATGGAACTGTCTGTTTTGACTCAGAGATTTCCGAGGATGACTACGCCCTCCTCTGGTAAGAACCTTTTCAACAGTCCCCACCAAGTCTGAGGAGAACAGTGGCCCTGTGCTTGGCCACCAGGGGCCGTGCCACAGATACCCCACGCTGACAGCTGTCACAGGGACAAAAACAGCAAAAGATGCTCTCCAATGTGCCATCTTTTCTTCCCAGGAATGCCTACAGAACCCAAACTTGGTAAAAATCAAAAATGCTTTTGGATTCTACAACGATAAGCATAAAAAGTGTAAACATAGCATCCCACTTACATTCTGAATTCCAGCAGAAGCCTTAAATCTCTTGAAATATCCATGACTAGGCACAACATTCGGGCATCTTCTAACTCTCCTTTGGCATGTTTGAAGAGATGCCTAGCCTTTCTTTGATCATCACCTTTCAGTCATAAATTGAGTCCCACAAAGCAAGAAAGTATATGGATGATGTCAACATATGGGAGCTGTCACAGGGAGGCCTAGTAAAAAAAGACAATAGGAAATAGGAAACATTAGCGGGTGATGTAAGTGCTCTCGGCCAGGCACACTCTGCAGCATTCATCTACATGTTGGACTGCTATGAACTTTCCATATCTCTGAAATGAAATATCCCTAATGGAACAGCTTGCTGAAGGCAGCAGCTCATACACTGTAGTTCTCAGGGGGTGCCTGGGTGGCTCAGTTGGTTAACTGTCTGACTTTGGCCCGGGCCATGATCTCACTGTTCGTGGGTTCGAGCCCCATGTCAGGCTCTGTGCTGGCAGCTCAGAGCCTGGGACCTGCTTTGGATTCTGTGTCTCCCTCTCTCGCTCATGCTCTCTCTTTCTCTCTCAAAAATAAATAATAAACATTTAAAAATTTGAAAAAAAATTGTTGGTCTCAGAATCCCTTTACACTCTTAAAATTTATTGAGAATCCCAAAGAATTTTTGTATGGACAATATCTGTTAATAGGTACCAATTTAGAAATTAATCCTAAACATTTTTAATTCTTTATTAGTTTGGCAACATAACAAATGACATACTATAGGTTAATGTAGGCAACACATTCTTATGAAAGGTAACTACTTTCAAAACCAAAATAATATACACGACGGAAGTGGCCTCATTTTACATTTTTACAAATTTCTTTACACCTGACTGAGAGAGATTAACTGAACTCTCATACTTGCTTCTCTATTAAATCTGCTATGATGTCTTATATCACGTTGCCTCTAGAAAACCCCATACACTCAGGAGAAAATGGTAGTGAAAAAGGCGAATAATAGAAGAGAGTTCTTCTTGCTGGACTCCACTGTCTACCTAAGTGCTCAGGGCGCTCAGTGTCCGGTCACACACCTCGCAAGCGATGAGTCTGACTCGCAGAGTACCAGCTGGATGGGTTTCAGCGGTCCCCGTTGCTGCTCAGACAGCTGCCATGGTTTACCTAGTTTACAAAAGATTTTATGTTCAAGATCATCGCAGCAAAGCCACCGCACACCTTCACATCCAGAAAGACAAGCCCAATGGGTACTGCCATTGTTGGTGGTCCACGAATTTCCCATCCTGTGAGGTACTGCACACAAAACACAACGAAGAAACTGGGGACAATATGAGACCTCTAATCAGGAAGAGATAAGACATTTAAATGGATAGTTTTGAGACTGAAAACCAATTTTTCATGATGTTACCTAATTGGTTTTTGGGTTTTGTGTGTGTGTGTGTGTGTGTGTTTTAGTTTTTATTATTTAAGTATAGCTGACACACGTTACATTGGTTGCAGGTGCACAACATAGTGATTTGACCATAGTATACGTTATGCAATGTTACCATCTCTGGCCATACAAAGTTACTATGTTATCGACTGTGTTCTTTATGCTACAGGGGCCACCACCAGTTCTGTGCAATGCACCTGCCCTGGTCTAATACCCAACCAGGGGTATATTGCAAACTGCAGCTTTCCTATTCATGACATTTACATTATTTGCTACATCATGGTACAAAGTTGTTTAAATTTTTTTAAAAAGGAAAAACAACCTCATGGCTTGCGAATTATTTTAGTCCTGTGAGGATCTGTTTCTTTATATTTCAAATAATGACATTAGAAGATAGTTGTAGGTTGAAGTTAACATGTTAAATTGCTCTCAAAATTTTAAAAAAGAGAAAAAAGAACATTTTTGGCCTCACAGCTACCCCAAAAGATTCCTGATCATACTCTGAGAACCAGTTGCCGGCTTAAGGGATCAAATTTATCCTAAATTAGGGGTATAAAGCACATGTAGTGTCTGTATATGGCCTGCAGCTGGAAGGAACCATCTTATGTATCGAGAATGGGGGTAACAAACAAATCCCTCCTCTGTACCCCCTGGGCTAGCCTGTTTCTTCCCCAACAAGCCAACAACCCAGACCCTGATGGATGGACAGAGTGGAGGGCAATCTCAAGAGGGATTTGCAGGGTAGAAGAAGGGAATTTGGTGGCCTGCTTACTGGGACTTACTCTTGTACCACCCAGAGGAAAGGCCTTCATCATGGAGGCCTGGGTGGCTCTGGCAGGGACTGGAGGACTCACTCAGGGGCTTAGGAACATGGACAAGTCTAAAAGCCTGTCATATGACATGCACATGAAGAATAAAATAAAAATATAAGTATTTAATAAATCAAAACACGAACAAACAAAACCTCAGGCCTTCACATGTATTCAGTAGATGCTCCTTCACCTGCTCCCCCAGCCCCCCCCGCCAACAGGCACGCTATCTAGAAGTTTCCATCATGTAGCCCCACTCACCGTCTCAGGGCAACCTATCTCCTGCAGGAGGAAGACTCACACCTTCTGCATTTAAAAGCCTTGAAGAACTGTTACTTCTCTGCAAAACAGTGTAAATGAAATTTCCACTTACAGCAAAGTTGCAGGCCAGACAGCGTTTAGAAAAAGATGCCAATTCCTTAAACTGGGTGTAAATTTTTTAGTCTTTCAAAATATTGGTGGTCCTTCAGATACGTTTGTGTCCTTGGCAACAATTGTTCACAGGTTCCCACCAGCTTTTAAGAAGGAGAAAAACTACCTTCACCTCATAGCAGGTGGAAGAGAGACAGCAAGGTCACCAGATTTAATTAACAGCGCAAAGCCTGCAGTGGCTGTTTCGGCAACACCTGCCTGTGATGTCCTAGTCTAAACAACCCAGGCTTTGGTGAACATCCGTCTAGTGAAGATGCTATTTTGTCTAGTGAAGCCTCCTCTGAGGTGGGAGAAGGATGAGCATCAGTGGTTAGGGGATTAAATTTCCTTCAAGGGAAGGCATGAAAGTATGGGAGCAGTAAGAAAATTTCTTCTGCTGAGGGTGGGACCCCAGGACAGAGACGGAGCAGAAAGGGGAAGAGTCCCTCAAAGGATGCAGCTGTACAGTCATACTTTCATACCAGTTGTTTCCTTGAACTCTGAGGATAGTTATGCTGACTAATCCCTTTAAAATTATTTCCTCCTACATGTCATCGCCCATGGACATCCTATCAGTAGGGGGTGTTTCACATGTACAATCCTGTGCAGTTGGGGGAGACAATAGTACAGTCAGTAGTGAGAAGCCAGGCCACAGAGGCAGGAGGACTGGTCCTTTACTGTAGGGTACTGTGTTTTCCTCTATGTCACTTTTCGTTATAGTAAAGCGTAAGCATACTTCTTGGTTCCAGAAAAGAAAAAAAAACAAATTCTTACCTTTCTCACCCACTAACTTGGAGCTGGAAGGGCAGAAAGTATCTTTTTAATATCTGTCATCACCTAGCATCATCTGGCATTCAATCAATGTTTAAATGCGGGGGGGGGGGGGGAGGACTGAAATAAGATATTTTCTTCAAGGAGACATTATTAGATCTATATGGTCCCAAATAATGAAAGTAACAAGAACAATGAGAACCAACAGACTGTTTTTAATCATATTTGGATTATATAAAGGCAACATATATTCGCTTGTGTCCTTTTATTATATTCTGTTCCTGGGCAATTAATATTGGAGGAATCTTTCGGGCCAATTAAATATTTAGATGATTAAGTATGCTTCCACATTACTTCTTGTTACCAAAGATATGTTTATTCAAAACAGTGGGACTGAAATAAAACGTGAAAAGGGGAAAAAAAAAAAAAAAAAAAGGCCTGTGGCTCCTCCTCCAGACACCCCCCTCCCAACTGTGATGAATAGGAGGGACTGTTTCCCCCCCTGCCCCTGGGAGACACTATCCTTGCAGTGTTTTAGGCTGTTTTGAAATTCTTTTCTTTGGAACAATTTTTTCCCCCTTAATATCAAAGAGCTGCTGCTGCTCGCGAGGCTGGCTGGCGCACCAGGGGCCGAGGACACGAGAGGCACCGCTCGGCTGGTGAAAATGCAGATTGATGATGGCGCGTCCAGGGACGCGCCTTCCCTGTTCTGCAACCCGCACACACCTTGAATGACAGCGAATTATTCTCTACTGGTTTTTCCTGCGGGAAAGTACCCCGCGCGGCCGTTCGGCTTTTTCTAGAAAATCGTGAGACGGGCTCGGCCGCAGAAGAGGAGCCGGAGCGGCGATCCCGGGAGCGCTTCCAGAGAGCCCGGGGGCTCCGGCCTCTGCCGCGAGCGTCTCCTCGGACCGGCTGCGCGGGCCGCGGGCTGGGAGCGGACGGCGGCGGCGAAGAGACCGCGCGGTCAGACGTGAGCGGACTCGGCCGCCCGGAGCAGCGGAGGGCCCGGCTTTAGTGCTCCCCGCCGGGCAACTTTCACCGGAGCCCGCGCCGCCGGGGCTCGGCGGCACGGTCGGCGTCCAGGCGGGGCGGGGGCACCACGTGGAGCACACCGGCTGCCGCCAGATGTGCCAGCCACCCGCTCCGAGGCAGGCCCCTCGGAGAGGCTCCAGCCCGCCCCGAAGCCCCGCCGGTGCTCGCAGCTGGCGGCTTCGTAAAGAAAGCCCTCGCCTTCCGCCGCGCTAGGTCCCGGGGAGAGGCGGCGGCGCGAGCACTCTCGGCTCCCAGAGCGTGGCTCGAAGCGAAGCGCCTCGGCAGGAGGTTTGTCCCCGCCCGCACGCCGTGCCGCGCGGCCCCAGTGGTGGGGCACCGGGCGCGCGGCGGAGATGGGCGAGACCATGTCAAAGAGACTGAAGTTCCATCTGGGCGGGGAAGCGGAGATGGAGGAGCGGGCGTTCACCAACCCCTTCCCGGACTACGAGGCCGCGGCCTCGGCGGTGTTCGCCGCCGGAGCGGCCGAGGACACAGGCTGCGCTCGCCCCCAGCCCACCACCGACGAGCTCGGCCTCCCTTTTCACAACGATGGAAAGGTGAGTCGGCAGCTGGCCTCGCCCGGGCCTTGGGCCGCGCCAGGTAGGGGGGGAATCCCGCCGATGGTAGAGTCCATCCGCCCCTCCCCGCCCCCGTGTGACGTCACCGGTCCGCGCCCGCGCGAGAGTCCCAACCTGGGAGGGCGCAGAGATCGGAGGCGACTGTCTCGTGGGCGCTTTCTGTGTTACGAAGCTGCGCTGCTTCCGGGAGGGAGGGCTGTGGGTTTTGTTTTGTTAGCCACGTTCCCTTTGATAAGCAACACTTTTGATATTAAGACTCATGCTTCAAAACTGAAAAGTCTTGCCAGCCTTAGCCAGCTTGCCCACACAGAAAACCAAGAATCCTTTTTCACAACTTTCTGTCCACTCAGCTTTTATCTCTTATTCTGGAACAACCAGTCCTTTTACTTGAGGACACAGTTGCACTTTTTTTTTCTTTAACAAAAGACATGTTCTTCATATTTTTCCTTATCCAAAGAAATACATTGTGTTTTTTCTTAGCCCACTTTTAATACACTGTTGTTTCCTTTTAACCTTGTTATTTCTATTTGTTTTAAGGGCATGTATTGACTAGAATTCTTAATCCTTGGAAACCTTTATTTCTAGTAAAAACTAAGAAACAATTACGGATTGCCTGTTCCACAGGCATTCTGTAAATTGGCTATTCTATGAATTTCACGATTTCTAGAAGTGTATTCATCCTTACAGTAATTTTTTCAGTGTGGCACACCTGTTTACCAATGAACTTAAATAGCTTTAGTTCCTTTAATAAGAAGCCAAAAGTAGCTGAACGTATGTTCAGTAATCAGTGCCTCAGAATTTTATCTTATTTGGAAATGATCTAGACATGATGTGGGAAACAAAGGCAAAGGAACTGTAGATAAAATTAAATTTCCATTTAACCTGCAGCCCATTGACAGATACTTGAGAAAGGCAGAGTCTGACATTCTTCCAGGAACTCCCACCTGTCTTAATGCTAGGTAGAGGGAAAAACAACTTTAGCTTGACAATAGCTAGGCCTCCAGGATCCTGTGATTCTTCTTTAGCAGGTGAAAGTCCTTTTGGAAACTTCCTTTACCTCCCCCAACTCCCAAGCATATTACCAGTCACCCCTCACAAGCACAGTGCAGCTCTTTCTGCCCAAGGGTCCTGTCCCCGTGCTTCAGTAAAACCACCTTTTTGTACTGACGGCATCTAAGAATTCTTTCTTAGCTGTCAGCTCCAAATCCCAACACTCCAAACCACATCAGAGATTTTAATTTTAATTTACCTGTTGTTAATAATTATGTGTAACTTATTAATGAGAATTTCATGAGACATTAAATAGGTAGCCTTCATATGAAGTTGTTTTTCTGGCTGACAAATTTTATAAGAGATAACATGACCTTATGACTAGTGCACCCAGATAGAATAAAAGCTTTATATCTGCATTATATTTAATGCTGAGAATGTCGAGAACTGACCTCTGTGCTGTGGAGCCGTAATATGTAACATGAAGACAGAGTTGGAGAATAAAGAAGGAAAATAGTTTGTTACATTGCTGGGCAAATGAGGCTGCAACAGGCTAAGGCCTTTAAAAACTGCAAGTCCCCCACAGAAAAGGGCTGGGGTGGGGGAGGTTTATAGGAAAATACAGGATCTAGCAGGTTTTGACTGGAATTAGGTGCTGCCAGCCTCCTACCTCTTGCCTTTAGGGTGGTACCAGGTTCCGGAAACAAAAGTCCTTAAGAATGGAGGAAGGGAGCTTTGCAGAAGAGATGAAAAAGGTTACTTTAAAATCGAGCTTTACTGAAGCATGAGTGCAGCCATTTTGATTTTTGTTCAACTTTATGCTTTTAACTGGTTTCAGTAACCCTTAAGACATGCCTATTTTAATTGAACCAACAAAGTTTAACTGGCTTCTGTTTACCGAAGACTATCCTAGATCATGTGAATTTGAAAACCATTTGGATTCGTTTCTGTGTTTCCGAGAGTATACTTAATTTATGTAAGCACTTATTTTTCGTTACGCTAATTAAATAAAGCTCTTTTCAAATTAGTTTTGGCTGTAACATTTGTAGCTTAAAAAAAAAAACACCCCATCATTAACATACATGTATAGACATACATAAAAATACAGGAAGGCAAAACAGATCTTATGGTTCGGGGTTCCTAAAGATCTTGTAGAACATTTGCATCTCAAAGGCACAGAGAAAGGATATAAATGTCTGCAAAGGGCATATGTTTCCTAAGTCCAGATCTTTTACTGTATCTGCAAGACTTTTGAGATGAATAAGGTGAGTTCTGGGATTGGTAAAAAGGATAGATGGACTTTGAATGGGTTCGAGAGCTACATTGCTTTTCTGTAAAGCCTTATTTTGTAAGAGAAGTACAGTCGTTTTTAATTCCTCAAAGAATTGGATTGCAACCTGAATGATATCAAGAGGCTGACCTAGCCATCCAGCTATATTATCTTCAGTTTGCTTCTTCTGGTTCACTAGGTAGAGGGTAGAATCTGCATTTTTAACAAGCTTCCAGGGAATGCAGATGTTGGGGTTCACAGATCCCACTTTGAGGAGAAAAGCTCTAGAGTATACTCCCTCCCTAACCCCCACTTTAGTCCATTTAGAATCAAGAAAAAAAGCATTATATTTCTCTGGACAATTGAGAAGTGCTGATTTCCTTATTTTTCCCTAATACGCTATGAGGTTAAACAAATTTCGGAAGTAAAAAAGCATACACTTTAAAACAAAACCAGAAAATTGTATAAAGAATTATAAAATAAAGCATTTTCAACTCAAGCTCAAGATTATGTCAAATTTTAGATACCATGTAAGAGTGTTCTTTATCTTCCTTTTTTCTCTGCTGAGAAAGCTTTCAAATTCTTAGGATCTGTCAAATCCTTCAGAATTGGCTCCAGTCCACCTCTTCAGCCTCATTACCACCCAGGGTTATTCAGGCTCCCTCCTCTCTAGTCATATTTTACTCCTCGCCAGTCTCTTAACATAGTTTCTTGTAAGTCCCTGTGCATGCAGCTCTCTCCTTAATCTGTCAAATCTGTGCTGTTAAATTAATTAAACAAGGAGGCCATTACACACTGGGGTGGCTCTCATGCCCTGGTGGTCTACATAAGCAAACCAAGATCTAAGTCAGTAAATACCCCACAGTTACAAAATCAAAACGCTAAGGATAACCAATCACAGACAGCAAAGTAGGCTTAAGCTACAGCCAGTCGAATAATTTCCGTCCTTTGCTTCTGTCTCTCCCCTGGCTCCTGTCAGCAGAGAGCTCCTAACCACTTCTGGTTTGGTGCTGTCCAATTCAAACTGATTTGGCCTTAAATAAATTTTTAATATGCCTCAGTTTATCTTTTTATCAGTTCTGGTGTCAGAAGAGGGACCTAAAGGTCCCTCCCCCCCACCCATGGGTCCCAGGTGCAGTGAACGACCAACCAGGCAAAAGTACCTGTTGAGCCCCTGTGGCTGCTTTCTCATTGCCTCTGGAGGTCGCCGCTGAGTCCCTCCTTGGATCCTAGCTCTGCTGCTTTTGCATTATGAAGCTTCTGACTTTACTTAAACATTTCTTTTTCCAGACTCAATCCAATTCAACAACCAGACTGGGTCTGGGGTTGGGTGGGGTCTGATTTAAAACTGAAATGGGTCCCATGTGAGAGTTCAGATGAGTAAAATTTTGTTTTAAGGCTCAGGCTTAAAACCTTAACCTTATCAAAAACAATCTTGAATTACAGTGGCCACAATCGAGAACTTTTAACCATCCTAGATAAGCTTATCCATTTATAGGTTGCCATAGAGAAAAAGGGTGTCAGCCAAGCACATGCCTTAGAGGGTACAGGGAAAATTATTTCTCCTCCAAAGTTTGAGGACTAGGATGAGACCCACTAGGATATCCTCTCCAGAGCCTACAGATCCTGAGAAAACCGTCAGAAGCTGGCAAAGCGTGAGATTCTTACTAGTCCGCTCTCCCAGATCTCTACCTGTGGTTCCGGGTCCGGAGAGGAAGGTCAATTTTATGTTGTCCCTTCCTTTCCAAATTCAAGTTGGCAGGAAAAAACATTTGTCAAAATTATATCCCTGAATGTGAGTCATGAATTGGCTTTCAGGTACCCACTGGTTATTGATCCTTTCTCCAAGGGACAGCTATTTATTGCCTTCTTATTTTTCTCTTTTTGTGTCCTGAGAACTTGGCTTGGGTATCTGCCTGCCTGGAGCACACATGTCCTTGTGTGTGTAGGCGGTTCAGCTGTCAG